ACACTTGTAGGAATCCGCTGAACCGTGATGAAGGCATGCATTTGCCGCACGAATTTTTAAATTTAGCCCTCAGGGACAGAACATAATCAGCTCCGATTTACCGATTTGCATAGTATGAGAACGTGCCTTTCTAACAAATTCCTTGTCACTTTCCCCTGATGAAGGCTGAAGTTTTAGCCGAAACGTTGGGACTTTTACAAAAAAATTTTTACTAACATTTTTACATTTTTAAACCAGAGTAACGTTTTTCAATCATGAACCAACCACCTGGTTACAGGACCATTTTTATGACGTCAATTTGTTAAATTTAACACAGTTGAAGGATAGCTCGATTTTTATTAGAGAGGGATCATCCGTCTGGGACGAACGTGGCGAAGAACGGTAGTTTGTCTGGGTATAAATACGGATAAACAAACGGATCATCCAACCGCACGACCTAGTTTTAGTTTTGTTTCGTCTAGAGAGATGATTCGTTTGTTTGCCCCTGTTCATACACAGACAAATTATCCGACTGTCGTTCTTTTCCCAAGTTCGTCCCGACACATGATCCGTCTGTAGTATAAATAAAGCAAATCGACCGAAGTAGAACCTGTAATTTTTGATAAAGCTTACTGTATTTAGCCTTCACAGATGCAGAGAAATCAGGAATGGAATTCCTTGATAATACAAAATAAACTGCCCCGCGCTTTAAAAATGGTGATTAATAATCGAGATTTGTTATTTTTCTCGAGCGAAAATTCCACAGTTTGTTTTTTTCATGGTAACACCAAATAGCGAGTTTGAGTTAATGACCTGAAAGGATTATGCCCAGGGAAATTTAAATTTTTAAGTCGATAACTGATAGTGGTATTTTGGTAAACCAAGGAGTCCCAGCAGCAGCGACAATTGATTATCTGCCAGATGTAGTAACAGATGATAGAATTACCCTGAGGTGGAGTGAGCCGCCAAATAATGGAAAAGTCATCACACGTTATCCTGTGTATCAACGAATAGTGACTGATGATAAACCAGGAGAGTGGATCGAGCTAAAGACAATTACAGATGTCTCTGATAGAGAATTGAAAGTTGAGTTGGAAAGCGGCAAGGTGTACGAATTTGTGGTTACTGCAACGAATGAACTTGGTGAAAGTTTAAAAGAACATGAAAATGTCATGAGAGTCAAGGTATCACGAGGCATGCGGGGTTAGTCCACTCTTTTGTCAATTTGACACCAAACTATCTCAACCCCATGACAGGATTTTACACTACTCGCTACCCAATTGAAAAAACTCACTGTTATAAATAGACTAATTATAGTTTCACTAGAAGTATATTGCGGGGAAAATTGCACACAATGTTTGTACTGATATAAAATATCTTGGCGACGAGCTTTATATTTATTAAAAAATATATACGACATGAAGCCAGTTATCTATCTGATAATCAATTATAGATTTACTTTATTTTGTTACTTTCGGAACAGAATCTCTCGTAATGTGGGGTTTAAATTTCTATTGGTCGAGAAATAATACTCTTCATATATATATTTTTTACTTCCTCGCTGTAGTACCACCACAATTACCTTTAAAAGCAACGGTAAAGTTACTATTGTTGAGGGAAACGTACTGTACTTGTTCTGCGAAGCCGAGGGCAATCCTACACCACTTGTTACTTGGAGAAAAAGTGGTAGGGTGCTCCAAAAGAGCATCAGCAAAACAGAATTAATCATCCAGGATGTAAGTGAAAATGACGCCGGGATTTATGAATGTGAAG